AAACACTCTCTCCACTTTCCTCTCTCTGAAACCAGTCAACATATAAAAATTTAAAAAATAAAAACTTTTGTGCTTCAAAGGACAGCATCAAGAAAGAGAGAAGTCAACACACAGAAAAGGAGAAAATACTTGCAAACATATATATCTGATAAGGGACACCTGTCTAGAATGCAAAAAGAATTTTTATAATTCAATAATAAGAAAAATGACTCTTTAAAAAATGGACAAAGGATCTGAATAGACATTTCTCCCAAGAAGATGTACAAGTAACCAATATGCACATGAAAAAATGCTCAACGTTGATAGTCATCAGGGAAATGCAAATTAAAACCAGAAGAAGCCACGAGAAGCTATATAAGAAATTTGGACAATAATAAGTGTTAGCAAAAATGTGGAGAAATTGGGACACATATACTTCTGTGAGAATAAAATGGTGCAGCCGCTTTGAAAAACATTCTGGTATTTTAACAAATGGTTAAACATGGAGTTATCATGACACAGCAATTCCATTTCTTGGCATACTCCCAAGAGAATTGAAAATATGTGTCCACACAAAAACATGTACGTGAGTGTTTATGGCAGCATTATTCACAATAACAAAAAAGCTGAAACAACCCAAATGTCTATCCACTGATGAATGAATATACAAAATGTGGTATACCCATTCAATGGTATACCATCTGCCCATAAAAAGGAAAGAAGTACTGATACATACTGAAACATGGGTGGAGATATCACGTTATGTGAAAGAAGCCACACACAAAGGACTACATATTGTATGATTCCATCTATATGAAATGCCCAGAATAGGCAACTTTATGGAGAAGGGAAGTAGATTAGTGGTTTCCAGGGCTTGGGGTCATGGGAGCTTTGGAGGATAACTACTAATATGCTTGCGGGTTCTTTTTGGAGAGATGAAAACCTTCCAAATTAATTGGGGTGATGGTTGCACAATTCGGGGAAAATACTAAAAAACATTGAATTGCATATTTTAAATGAGTGGATTGTATGGTATGTGAATAACTCAATAAATCGATTACAAAATTCCATGTTCTCTGAATACACTGCATCTCCCATTTGGCACTTATCATAGACTACCTTATCTTATGTTTTTGTTTTTTTTTTCCAATCAAAATGTTGCTTCATACTTCCCAAGTAGTGATGATCTTTGAATTGTGAAATTTCTTCCAGATTTGTTTTCTTCATTGTCTTTCAAATGTTCTCCATTGAAAATATATATTACATTTCTATTTGAAGATGACATTGTATAGAAATGAAAAGAACATTTCACAAACAAAATTATTAGCTCCTAAAGGGAAAAGTCTGTGCCCGTTTTTGGATTCTTCTGATGGTAGTACAATATCTTACACATATTAGATATTATGTGTATCTTAACAATGGCATGCTAAATATATTGATAATAGCATCAGGGTTAAATTCTCTTATGGTTCTACATGAATTTGTTATTGGTAATAGAGTTCAGAAAAAAACAGATGTTACTTTGTGATTGTAAACCTTATTTGCCTGCTCGCCCCCAACTCCCAACTTCCCTCCCCTCCTGCCTGATTGCCCCTATCCACCTCTGCCTCAGGCCCACCACCATGGCTTTGTCTGGAAGGACGTCTGGAAGGACTCTAAGAACATCTCCTAGAACATCTCCTGGTCTAATTAGCATATCACCCTTTTATTAGTATAGATGTGAGTGAAATCATGGTTCTTAGCTTTTTCTTTTTTCTTTACTTATTTATTTATATTTTTTATTGATTTTTTTACAGAGAGGAAGGGAGAGGGATAGAGAGCTAGAAACATCGATGAGAGAGAGACATCGATCAGCTGCCTCCTGCATGCTCCCCAATGGGGATGTGCCCGCATCCAAAGTACATGCCCTTGACCAGAATCGAACCTGGGACCCCTCAGTCCGCAGACCGACACTCTATCCACTGAGCCAAACCTATTTCAGTGGTTCTTAGCTTTTTCTGAATGACTTATTTCACTTAGCATGATATTCTAAAGGCCCATCCATGTTGTTGCAAATGGCGGTATTTTATCTTTTCTTACAGCTGAGTAGTATTCCATTGTGTAGATTTAATCTTAATATACATTTTCACGTGGATTCAGATATGTCATGTAGCTCACCTGGCTTCTCCTCCTCGTGGTTACTCCCTGCAGGGGGTTCTGTGTTAGCATGGCATCTTGTGCTAGCCTGCTGGAGTCATTTTGTGAATGATTTACTTTGCCATGTTTCTTCTTGAAGCTAAGGGTCATCTTCTGACTCTGTTTCATTAGCCCCTTTCTTCCACTTGCCTTCTTTACCCTCCTTTGTAACTTCTCCTCCATCCCCTTCTTTTGTGGAAGGCAGGACAGGAGGCCTATAGCGGGCACTAACTATTTATTTGCTAGGCCCCGCTTTTGTCCTTTCCCGTTTAGGATGCTGTTTCCTCTTCACAATTATAATGCTGACATGTTGCCATTTCAACCTCATTGGAGATGAGGAAACCGAGGCACCAATTGTGTGTAGCAGAGTCTGGACCGGGACTGGCAAGGCCGCTCGGTGTGAAGTTAAGAGCAGATCTGGCGCCAGGCTGTCTGGGCTGGAACCCAGGCCTTGCTGTTCACTAGCTGTGTGACACCCCTGGTTTCCTCACGGGGATGATAATAGTCTATCTCACAGGGGCTAGAATACAGAATGAGTTAGTCCATTATTTGTAATGCACTTAGAATAGTACCTGGCACCATGCAAGTGCCATAGAAGTGTTTTAAAAGTAAATAAACTGAAGGCTGTCTGACTCCAAAGCCAGCAACCGTGGAATTTCAGGTCTGCTTTTTATTTTTTATTTTTTTATTAAATTATTATCTGTATACATATCTTACCATTGCGCCCCCCCCCCCATACATACCCTCCCTCGCCAGAGTTTTGTGTCCACTGGTTGTACTTATATGCATGTATACAAGTCCTTCGGTTGATCTATTATCTCCCCCAGATCCTCCTCCCCTCCCCACTGCAATTTGACAGTCTGCTTGTTGCTTTACTGTCTCTATATCTATCTTTTGGTTCATCAGTTTATAATGTTCTTTCAGGTCTGCTTTTTGTCCCACCCCCTTCTTACAGCAGCTGAATTGGACAAAGGCTAACCGTGGATTCCGAACAGGGAACAGACACTTAGTTGATGAGGCAGCCATGGACTTCCTGCCCTGTCCCACGCATCTTGCCAGGAGCAAATCTAAAATGTGAATCCCTTTGCTTTAAGTTAGCTCAGAGCATTGAGCAATTACACACCCGGCAGTGGGGCTCACCAGTGGATGCCCATGCAACAAATCCTCACGGTGGTCTGGCCTACCCGCCCCCACCCCATCCCACCCCTCCCACCTTCCCAGGGACCTGGCCTGCCTCTCCCATGCTCTCACTCCCACCTGGTTCTTTCTCCTGCAAGCTCCGGTCTGTGGGGTCCTTGATCCCCCAACCACGCTCACTCTGACCTGAAGGCCTTTGCACCATCTGGAAATGCTTCCTGAGGTTGTTGCACGGTTAACATCTCTCCTATTCCTGTCCCCTCACCGCATCATCTTTTCAGAAAAACCTTCCTTGGCCATCAGCTGGGCTCTCATGCAAAAGAGAAGGCATGCTCAAATAGGGGCAGCTCAGGAGAATTTGTTAAGAGACCATTAGGAGGAAGTGGGCAGCGTGGGGAAACCAGGATGGGATGGGAAAGCCCAGGGATGTGGTGGGTGTGACCAGAGGAGGCAGGGAGCGCTCTGCATGCAGCTTTTAGCTGGATGGTGTGGCCACTGCTCTGATTCCTTCAAGGAGAGGCAGCATACATACCCCATTTCCTCTCCTCCACCTTTTGGTCTCCTTCCTGCCTCCCTCCCATTAGTGGAACCTAGACACACCAGTCAGCCTCCCAGGGAGAGGGTGGAGAGGAAAAGGAAGTCAGCCAGCACTCTCTCTTCCCAGGTCATAGTGTCTTCTCTTCTATCTTCTTAGCATGGACTACTCTCCACAGTTGCCTTTTGTTCTTTTATATACTTATTGTCTGCACTGCCCCCCCTTCCCTTTAAAATGTTTTCCTTTCATCTCTGGGTCCTCAGCAACTACATGGGCGCACAAATCCATATGGGTTGTTGAATGAATGAACAGAATGGGACACAGGCAGCTTGCCTAGAGCAGTGTTTCCCAAACTTCTCCCATGACGAGAATCACCTGGCGGAGTTGTTAAAACACAGATTCCTGAATCCCAACTAAGAAGTGCTCAACTAGAATTTTTGGGAACATATAGGTAACATTGTACACTTAGTGCTCTGTAGTTCAACAACTCCACCAGGTGATCCTCATCATGAGAGAAGTTTGGGAAACACTGGCCTAGCGAGAAAAAGGCTTCTAAGGGTCGTCTTTCTTAAAACGAGATCAGGTGAGGAACCGTCCCAGGTGCCGGGCCTGAGGGCTGCCCCTCTCGTCCCCGCTTTGGGGTCAGCAGGTGCGGCCAGGGCACTCACTACCCGCGGGCCCTCGTGCCCCGCTCCCCAGGGGCGGGAGCGCGTCTCCCAGGCGCTGCGGGTCCCACTCCTCGCCCCTCCGCCCTGGGCGCACCGGGACAGCTAGCCCAGTCCCTCTCCTGGTCCCATTGTGGGCAGGAGGGAGACACCCAGCGCTCCCAGTGGTTATTTTTAGAAGGTAGCTGACCTCCCCCGCTTCCCTTCATCCCCCCTCCCCCCACCCCACCGGCGGGGGCGGAGCGGCCGGAGGAGGTGGGAGCAGAGGGGACCCCGGTGTCTCCGCGTGCGCCCGCCAGGACCTGCACCGCAGGACCAGCTGCCGCGTCCTCAGCAGCCGGCGGGCTCTCCAAACCGACCGGCAGCCAGAGCCCGCAGGGCGGGGAGGGCGGTGGGGAGGAGGGAGCGGAGCGCGGCGGGAAGGGGCGGGGAGCGCGCTCCTGCGGCGGCGGCCGTCCTCCTCCCGCGGCCGGCGCTCTCCTCTCTCCGGCGGACGCGGGGCTTCGCAAATGGCTTGTCCCGCTCTCGGTCTGGAAGCCCTGCAGCCCCTGCAGCCCGAGCCGCCCCCCGAGCCCGCCTTCTCCGAGGCGCAGAAGTGGATCGAGGTAGGTGCCCCGGGCTGGGGGTGGGGGCGGCCTGGCAGGGGCTCCGGGAGCCACCGGACACCCCCCCCCCACCTCCACTCCCCCCTGCACGGAGCACAGGTCCCGCCTCGCCTCCCCGCCGCGCGTTCTCCTGCCCGCAGCGGCTTCGGGGCGCCCGCCGGGGCCTCGGGCGAGCTGCGGCTCCCCTGGCACCTTGGCACCGGCGTCTCGGGGCGAGGGTGGGGGGACACTGCGGGCTGGCTGTGCGCGTGGGGGGGCAGGGAGCGGCCCCCCGCGTCTCCATCCCTCCTGCCGGCCGGCCGCCAGCCGCGCAAATCTCGGCTCCCGCCGCCGCCAGGCGCTGCCCGGGCAGCACCATGTGAGCCGGAGCGCCGCAAAGGCGCAGGGAGAACGAGGCCCCGGAGTCCTTGAGATTGCCGCATTCTGGGGGTCCTCCACCCCCGCCCCCGTCCTACCTTCCGCCTTTGGGCCCCCTCCCTGCCTCTCCGGAGCCGGGTTGGCAGTGTCTCCGCGGCAGTGCACACACCGGAGCCTCTGGGTGCTCCTGGCGTGAGGCTGGCACCGTGCACGGCGCAGGGGAACCTGCAGGACCCGCCAGCCAGCGCGCCAGCCGCAGAGACCGCAGCCCACCTATGGGCAGTCCCCACCCCACCCCAGAGGGGGCAGGCTCCCAGGGGCCGTACCCGGGGTACCCGGCCCCGCTGCATAGTTCACTTCTCGTAGGGCTCGGTGGCAGGCCAGGGAAATCACTGGAGCTCTCGGGCTCAGTCCAGCGGCCGCTCGCAGGGATGATCCTGATTCACGATGTCTATCTGTGAAGGCAGCTTGGGGGTCCTGCGCGCTCGAAATGATGCGTTTTGGGCAGGAGACGGGGGTCAGGACCCGTGGAGGGCGCGAGGGGGTAAAGGTGACCCCGCAGGGATCCGCGCTGTTTCTCTGGCCAGTTTTTTTTTTTTTTTTTCCAGTAAGCGAATTTGACCCTCTTTTCCTGAAGGACAGACACTCTTCTTGGCTTGTAGTTCAAAGGAAGAAATGCCACAGCTAAGGCTAAGTCATGACCCTGCAATGGTGAAGCCTGTTAGTGCCCAGCCTGTCACTGAGTAACACCCCCCTTCGCGCCCCTCCCTCCTCTTCCCCCTGTAGCTCCGCGGATCTCAAGATCCTGCTGAGGTCACAGAGCTACCACGGTACAGATCGAAACCTGCCGCTCTGCCCGCAGAAACCACACTCACCGCTGCTCCAAGGCTCCACCAGAGAGAGGCCTGCACCTTAGACCAGCTTCATGCAGGCAAGAGTGTTAGGCAGAGTTTAGAAGCGTCCATGCAGAAACAGGGTTAAACAGACAGAAGAATAAATCCCAGGCTCTCTGGCTAAAAGCCCCAATCACGTCCCTCATACTCTGGTCGCTCATGCCCAGATGAGAAAAAGACCTTGGCTGTTTATGATTGATACGCGGCTGGAGTGGCTGGGGTGTGACAGGTGCTTTCTCTGTGCTGCATGCTTGGCTCACAGAGCACCCAAGAGACATTTGCCGGCCCTGGCTCGGTTCAGAGCTGCAGAGCTGTGTTTTTCATGCTCTTGAACTTGAACATGTTCAGGAGAGATTTCTGGATGTGGATGGCAGTGAGGAGCGGATATAAGAGCGGAGCAGTCTTACAATTCCGGAGGCACGTGGTTTATTCCCAGTTTCCTTAGTTGCGAGGGACAGTGACACACGGCTCTAAAACATGGATTGTGGTATGAGTCACACACAGGAAGGTGCACACATTGTAAGTGCACACCCCCATGAATTTTGACATGTCTGTACTGTTCTAGCCCCCACCGGGATCAACATCTCCTTCAGCCCAAAAGACCACAGTCTCATTTTAAGGGGTGGTATATTTCAAGCTAAATAGTATGCAGTACAGAATCCCAGCTTTTGTCCTTGTTCTATGAGTGAAGAAGAAGAGGAGGAGGAGGAGGAGGAAGAAGAGGAGGAGGAAGAGGGCTTCCTAAGAAAGTAGAATCCCCTCAGGCCCTGGAGAAGTTTGGCATTATTCTCGGGCCTTTGCCATTGGAGAGAGTGAACAGGGGAATGGGGCATGTGCGGCTTTAGGACAGGGGCCAGGCGCCCTTCTCCGTGTGTGCATTATTGAAGCAGCCTATCTCCTTTCCATTGAGGAGTTCGGTTTCAGGGAAAGGAGAGCTTCCCCTCCCAGGCTGTATAAAAAGGTATTTGCTCTAGGAAGAGAGAGAGAGAGCGAGAGAGACCTCCCCCCATCCCCTCCTCAAGGTTCCTGAAATGTAGATGCTGCGTCTGGTCTGCAAACAGGGTTACCCCAGGAGCGGTAGCAGATGGTTCTGCGGGCAGTTGCCCGGTGAACAAAGATTCCTGGGCTAATAGAGCAATGCTGGCGTGCTTAGTGCGAGCCGCATTCCCCAGGGATTGTTATCTGGAGACAATTGCATCTCCTTTAGGGACCCCATTGTCTTGGGCAACATCCTCACTGGCAGGGCTTTGTTTTTCCGCTTTTGTTCAGTGGGCGATTAAATTTCCCACAGGCTTTTTTTTTCCCTTCTTTTTTCTTTTGAGTAGTTAAGAATTTCACCATTTCAGAAAAATGTTCCCTTGAGTGCAGCAGGTTAATAAACAAACTTTGCCACTTGTCTTCCCCCACTCCCCTCCTCCCTCGGTCCTTAGTCTTTCTTGAGTCCAGGAACAAACTCCAGAGATAACTTGAGAGTGAGGAATTTCTCGGCCTGCAGCCTTGGCTATTTGAGGGCTGTGTTACTGGGCAGGAAATGGTGGCCTGGGAACCTTGCTTACACCTCACCCCCTTTCACCCTCCACCCCCCCAGCTGCTGCCTTAAGCTGGTGAAGGTGAAAGCCCTAATGGAGGTTACAGACCATGTGGGAACTGCTCGGTACCTGTTCCCAGTGACTTTATGGCTATAGGAGTAGGCTGGGTGTTTTAATGTGGGTTTGGGGAGACTCCTAAAAGAAATAGGAAACTTCAAGTATTAATTGTGACTACCAGCAGGCAGGGGCCTAACTTCCTCCCATGTTTCTTTTCTGGAAGGTCTTTCTAAGCAAAGGGGCAGGGAGTACTGTGCAGCAGTTAGGGGGTCGGACTTTGAGACTGGACAGCCTGGGATTAAATGCTGAGTCTGTTGCCTCCTATCTGGGTGAGCTTGGGCAGGCCGTGTTTCCTCTCTTTTTAGTTCTAAATATTTTCTTTGAAAACTAGCTCTAGTTATTAACAGAAATAACAAAGGGATATCGTTGAAAGCACCTGTTAAAACAGGAATACTAATAATAGCTTACCTACCTCATCGGAGTGAGATGAGGATTAAATAAATTAATACTATATTTAAAAACGCTTGAATAGTACCTAGTATTTAGGAAGTACTGCATAAGTAATGGTTAGTATTATTTTTACCATTAATATTACTCCTGTTATTATTTTTCCTACTACGATTTTTATTACTAGTACTACTACCATCACCATGATTCTCATTGTTATTACTGCTATTGTTGTTAATAATAACTGGAACTGATTTTGAAAGAATAATTTCAGAACCTAAATTCCTAGTGTAAAAAATATAATTCAGTTACCTACTGTTCTCATTCTACTATCCTCACCTTGTTAACTCTGGATGCCTGGACTAGAGATTCAGTAGAGGCAATGTGTTACTCTCTAACTTGCATTAAAAGAGAATTAGGGATCAAAAGAAAACCTGTAATATATACTCATAAAATGATCCTGGTAGTATATTAAAGCTTTGAAAATGGTGCCTTGATAGTATGTTGAATATTAAAGTTTAATGCATAGCCTTTGTTACCAAACTTTCCTTTAACATTTTTGTTGATTTTAGAGAGAGGAAGGGAGAGGGGCTGAGAGATACAAACATTGTTAAGAGAGAGAGAGAGAGAAATATCAATTGGCTGCCACATACTCCCCACTGGGGATCAAGTCTGCAACCTGGGCATGTATGTGCCCTGACCAGGAATCAATTCAGTGACCTCCTGGTTCATGAATCCACACTCAACCACTGAGCAACACCAGCTGGGCCTTTGTTATCAAATTTTAAGCAGTGTTCACTGTCTCTCCTCTTGCAGACAATCCAATATTAAATCATCTCAAATGCACAGTGTTTTGTTCACCGAAGTCTCAACTCCCACAGGACAAAGAATAATTTCCCCATTTATTTTATTTCTTCCTCCCCCCCTTCCCTCCCTCTTTCCCTGATGGTATTTATTGAGTTACAGGAGTTGTGAGCTGGTAGATGATTCTAATTTTCTTGCCCCCCCCTTCATCTAACAGTGCTTCCCAAAGTGTGGTACGTGTACCCCCAGGGGTACGGGAAGAGTTTGGTGGGGGTACGTGTTGCACCGGAGTTTGGTGGGGATATGCACTGCACCGTGCTTAGCTGCGCCTAATTCTACGTTCTCATGAGTACGAGGGGTACTCAGTGTTACGAAAATTATAGAAGGGGTACACATATGTCAAATGTTTGGGAAACACTGACCTACAACAATATTCATCTCTAATCTGTAGTTCTCTGCGATGCCAAACACTTAGAAACAGATGTCCCTTCAAGTTGTGATTGGGAACAGGTTGCTAAGTCTTTAGGGAGGGGTTGGACCTTTCAACTAACCTTAGTCTTAGTTCTCAACTTGAGAAGTTTCTGGACTCCTTTAACTTTAATCATAGCATTCTTGTGGGGCTTGATGATGGATATAATCTTATTTGTGACCTAATCCATATTTCACATGAGTGGGAACTAGTTGCAGTTCATCATTCTGGCTCATTTTTCCTGCCCACATAGAATTGTTTTCTTACTCAACTGGGACCTGATTATAAAGATTAAAAGCACCAAGGGTATCCAAGACAAAAAGCATGTTGTATGGTTTGGCAGTAGGGAGAATTTATGAGAAGCCTTTGAGAGAATCTGGCATTTAGTGGCCAGCAACATACGACACTGACGATGTAACGATGAGTGAACATATACCATAAGTT